TATATATATAAAATACAATACCTAATACAAGATTACACAAACACAAGATTATATAAACATATATTATATGCATCTTTAATTATAACAGGCGTGACAATCAAGTGTAAGTAGATTCAAACGTCGAAATTATTCGCTCGAATATATCGATGGCTCTCGTCCGATAAATTCTGTTGGTTATTTTATGCGCATTTGTGATTATCACGTTTACAACGCCGTTAAACGTGACGGATTGGAGACTGTTTTCGCGGTCGCCAAAACCGCCCCCTCATTTAATTGATTGAGAGATAGAAGGAGAGAGATAACGACTAGTCATAATAATACTTCGACAATATTTAAGTTTAAAGCCACGCAATTTTTACAATATCGTACGGTAAATCTAAATCTAAACGTATTCTAAACCTTAATAAATTGACTAGGTTGTTGCTCAGCTAGATTCCTAGCTATAGCCCCACCCCCCCCTCGTATTTTTTGGGATTGATTCTCAATTTGCTATCGCGTTCTTTGTCGCCCATGATTTTCAATTGAAGGCCCAAACGTACCAAATTAAAAGCGCCGCATGTTAATTAAAAATGTAATTAAATGTAATTAAATTATATCTTCAAATGCACTTGCAAATGCAATTCGAGCCGGTGATTTAATATTACTTTAGCGTACGTTTTTAAAGATACAGTTTCTTGCGACTTAAATTGATTTTTAATTATATAATCAATTATATTTATCTATAGTCTATCTTTAGTCTCAACGGAAATTAATCTTTTTTTTTTTAGAATTATATATAGCATTTTAGAATTATATTTTGCAGTCAAAAACATATGTGTTTGCAAGTTTGGCGAAATTAGTTTGCGCAAAATGTGAAATTTTCTTCTGACAGAGATCCAACAAGTTTCTAAATCATTTATAGATTCGCGTTTCTGTTTTATAACTTTAAATAATTTATCATTATCCAGTGCTTGATACAATTTTAACTTTTTTAGGAACATTTTACAGTGTATTTCATCATGTAATATATGTGAATTAGAAACAAATACAATTTAATTAATTCCGTAGAAGATTCTGTTTTTCGGTTTAGAAGTCATAGGCATATTTTTATATTAACTGCTAAACAACACGTTCAATTATATTCAAATCAAAGTCACATATCTGTATTCATTAATGTTTTCTGATATTAGTACAATCATTTTTATTATATTTTTTAAATATTTTCTTAGGAATCTTTGTGTGCTTTTTTCTCTTTTTTTATACCGGTTTTTGTAATCAGCAAAAATTACTGATTTATTACACGAAATCTGCATAGAGAAACGTTTTCGCAAATATACTTCGTGCTTCGCAAAAGGTAACAAAACTTTATAAAAAATATATGGCATCCCGTGTGTTTGTACAACTTATGTACATAGGTAAATAGTGTTCCATTGCGATACGTACAAAAGCAAAGGGAGATGCCAATTTATCCTCACCCAATATTTCCTCGTGCAATTGAGTTAATTTCGGACTAGTGTTGCGAAATATAGCAAAAGTCTGTTAGAAAAGTTCGGCTCAAAGTCTCAAAACGCGTGCCAGTGGGTCTCGAGTTAACATTTTACGGCGCATATCGAGTGTCAATCAACATGCTGGCAGAGATTTAACGTATAGGTATTTCCCAAAAAACAAGTTTGATTATACATATCTCCGTGGTTAACATTATAATATGTACAAATGTACATCGACGAGACCATAGGAAGATATATATAATAAATATATATCATTAACTTCAAACTGGAGCGATCAACGCAATCCTCTTTAGTCAAATTTGCGTCATTCCCGCATTTGCATTTGCAAAGTCGCAGGACACGACACATTGATTTTTCTAATTTCTAAAGAGATACATTCGTACATCCTAAAAAAATATAAATTTTTGTCAATAGTTAGTTTCTGGTGAGATAATCGCAGCGATCTTGCACCGTTCCGATATTGCAAATTAATGTTACAGATTTCTTCCATTATTTTAATTATATCTTTCGATTTTTTAAAGCAATCATTAATGCGACAACGCTTACAGAGTATGTATGTGCCCGATGGAAAAGCAACCCACTTAATATCTATTTTTATGTATTAAATAAATTTTTGTATATTAAGTATCCTTTTAATTCAAATTAATTTGCATGTTTTTGATTAAAAGAACTGTTTGACATTAGAAGAAGCTTATAGATTATTTCTTTTAACAACTTTCTGTAAGCGTCCGCAAATTAACAATATCGTTTATACGCTCTTATATCAAGTTCGGTTTTAATGACGATAGTCTTTTAGCTTTTGTTGAATGCGATCACAGACTCGAGATGCAGCATGTCTATGTAAGACGGTATGAGAGAAAAACATATAAAAAAGATGATTAAAGAGGTCGAGGAAAAAAAGAAAAGAAAACAACATTCACCATTCTTCTGGAACCATTTAAGTCGTATTTCATAAATTTCTTCGCATCTTTGAAAAGAAATACTTAATAGTGCTCGAAATTTTTGTATAATGGAACGATTAGAATTTTTCAGAATTTCAAGATTGAATAATTGTTCGTTCTAAAGAGTTTGAGGATATATCGAAAAATTCAAATTGTTCGATCTTTTCGATCTGATTTCAAATCTAAGATGGAAGAAAATTTATTCTTTGTTTGCAATGATTATTCATTTCCGTTTCAAATTTTTAATAACATTCAAACTACTCAAACATTCGAATCTTTGAGACGAGATCAACCGTTGAATCGAAGCAGAACAGGTTGATCAGTTCGAACGTTAAGTTTGAGACTCGAACATTTCTACTTTTTAGAGCGCACTTTGCCTGAAATGTTCTATTTGGATTTTATTTCTTCTCGATTTCCGTTCCGACGATTTATGTTCCGTGTGTGTATATATATACGAGACTCTGTCAGATCTAGCTCAATTTACTAGCTCAATAATACTCAATTTACTTGTCCCGTACACTTGACTCGCGATGAAAGATCTGCCCGATCTTCCCGTTATTAGTCGTTGATTAGTCGTTATAGAAACGCACGCGCTTAGGGCGTAGCCTAGCAACACGCGTGTTCCCGATTCCCGTCAAAGCTACCGCGGCTAAAGCGCGGTGTCCCATCGCTCAGCGACGATATTTCCTCCTCAGAAGGAGATCCGCGCGATTAATAACGCTTCACGTGCGATCCTGACGAACTCGTGATCGCGAACGAACGGACGGCACGACCGATCAACGACGATCCCAGATCCGGCTTGATGCGAAAGCACCAACGGTAACAGACGATACTTCGAACGGGGTACGTGTGGATCGTGGGTGTGTGTGTGTGTGTGTGTGTGTGTGTGTGTGTGTGTGTGTGTGTGTGTGTGTGTGTGTGTGTGTGTGTGTGAG